TGTCTCCTGTAATGCATCTTCATTTTAAAAAATGAAAAGAAAAAATGAAAAGAAAACTAAAAAAATCATAATTTTATAAATAATAAATGAGGATGTTTATTTGGTTAGCTTTTCTAATTGGTGTTTTTGCACTTAATCTTAGAGATAATCTTGATGATTTTTTAGATAACTTAGATAATGATGAACTATTTCATGAAGAAGATGAATATAATGAAGAAGATGAATATAACTTAGAAGATGAACTTGAAGAAGAGGATGATGAAATGGATTATGAGTCATATGAAAATGATGATGATATGTATGAAGATTTGGATGAAAATGAATTTGATTTACAACAAGTTGATGTTCAATTTCCATTTTCAAAAGAAGTTGAAGGAAATACACCATCAACAATATTTGATAGTGCAGAACGATTATTAGTAGAACTTCAAATACCAGCATTTGCTGGATTACGACCAGTTTATTAAATTTTAATTAATTAAATCTTCTTAATAATTTTTTGTTATAATTAAATAGTTTTAGTTAATATTTAAAATGAATATCAAATAAAAAAGGTGTTTATTTAAAATGTTTCTGAGAAACGATTATATCGCTTTTTTTGAATAAATTCATAAATGAAAATAGCAACCACCATCAATATAATAATTGCCATAATCACTACAGTAACAATACCAAACCACATCCAGAGTTGCCAGTCTTCATGTTCTTCTTCAGCATCACCAATTTTTGTAATATTTAACAAAAACATTCTTTCTTTTTCTGAAGTTGAGAGAAATCCAACATGAATATTTAGTATTAAATCTGGATGTATTTCTATTTCTAAACGAGAACCAGCTCCATCAAAACATTGAACATCAGCTGTTTGAAATGAATTAATAGTCTTTACACATTTATCTCCATTAGTTACAAAGATACCAGTAACTCCTTCACTATAACCACATGTATTTATTTCAAGAATATCATCAGTGTTTGATTTAATTTGATAAGTATATCCATAAAGACTATTATACGGAGTAGTTGTTTGAAATTGACAACTATCTGAAGAAGACATAAGTAAAGATGGGACAGTTGCCATATGAAAAAAGGGGTAATCAGAAATAGTTCCAATAGTATCATTTTGTTGTGGTATATAATTTAATGAAAACTTAATTGATTGATTTTCTACTAATGCAGTAGATGAAATAACAATGACTCTATATTGAAGTGTTGTTGTGATATTTATAGCTTTATTCTTCTCTAATAAAATACATTCTTCTGAAGAACTACTTTGTAACATTACTTTAAACTCTAAAGAAGAAGTTGTTTCATAATTAATAACTGTCTCTTTAGGTGAGTCAAAAATAAATGAAGCAGCATAGACATTTTCTATAGATTTTGAACATTCATTAATATTAACAGTTTCACTACTCAGGCTTGTACTTATTTCAGTTGGAAGATTAATTGGAGTACTTGTTGGTAATTCCCCTAAACTTGCAATAATTAATAGATTGAATAACAAAAAATTAATTAGCATTTATCTTTTTAAGATCTTTTTGTTTTTATTTTTAAAATATTTCAAGAAAATTTTGATGTATTAATAAAGATCTTATAATATTTAACAGATTTTTTTAAAAAATGAAAACCCTCAAAATTTTTCATTTGAATGGGGAAAAAATAGAATCGTAAAATAAATATAAAAGAAATAATAAAAAGGAATTAAACAAAAACAAAAAAAAAAAGAAATAAACACGTGTCGATATCTGTTGCCACGATATAGTAAAAAGAATAACAAAACATAATTAATTACTTAAAATAGATTTTACCCTATTATAATAAAAAGGGAAGATGAAGAAATAATATTATCTAGAATTCAATGTCTAGTGCAGTTGAACCAAAACAAAAATCACTTGTAGGAGCTAAAGGAAAACTCTTATTGAAAGGATATAAACCAGGTATGAAAGTTTGTACCCGTTTCCCACCAGAACCATCAGGATATCTTCATATTGGTCATATGAAAGCTGCTATGTTAAATGAATATTATGCACATAGTAATGGAGGAGAATTAATTCTTAGATTTGATGATACTAATCCACTTAAAGAAAGTGCAGAATTTGTTGATAATATTATTAAAGACTTAGCTACAATTGGAATTGTTGCTGATAAAATTTCATATACATCAAATTATTTTGGACTTTTAATGGAATATGGAGATAAAATTATTCAAATGGGAAAAGCTTATATTGATGATATTGATCCAGAAGAAATGCATAAAGGAAGAATGGAAGGAATTGAATCACCAAATAGAAATAATACTCTTGAAAAGAATATGAAAATGTGGGAAGAAATGAAGAATGGAACTGAATATGGTAAGAAATGTGTTATGAGAGCTAAAATTGATATGAAACATAAAAATAAAGCATTAAGAGATCCATCATTATGGAGATGTATTGATGCCCCACATTATAGAACAGGAACACAATTTAAATGTTATCCATTATATGATTTTGGAGTTTCTATTATTGATTCTATTGAAGGAGTTACACATGCACTTAGATCACAAGAATATTCAGATAGAGCACCATTATATGATTGGGTTGTTGATACATTTGGAATGAGAAAACCAATTATTGAAGTTTTCTCTAGAATGAACTTCTCATATGTACTTCTTTCTAAAAGAAATCTTAATACATTTGTTAAGAAAGGACTTGTTGATGGATGGTATGATCCAAGATTCCCAACTATTCAAGGACTTATTAGAAGAGGACTTACTCTTGAAGCTATGAAAGAGTTTTGTCTTGCACAAGGATCATCTAAAAATATTAACTTGATGGAAATGGAAAAGATTTGGTCTGTTAATAAGAAAGTTATTGATCCAATTGTACCAAGATATAATGCAGTATTAAAAGAAGGTGTTTGTACTGTTAATGTTACTGATGCAGTAGAAGAAGATAAAGAAGTTCTTCTTCATAAAAAGAATGAGTCTCTTGGAAAGAAAACAGTACATTTCACAAAAGAAGTACTTCTTGATGGAGCAGATGCTAAAGAAATTGCAAATGGAGAAGAAGTTACTTTTATGGATTGGGGAAATATTGTTATTGATAAAATTGAAGGTTCTAAAGCTGAAGCACATACTCATCTTGAAGGTGATTTCAAATTAACTAAAAAGAAACTTACATGGATTTCTTCAAAAGATCCAGTTAATTTAGAATTAAGAGAATATGATTATCTTATTACTGTACCAAAAATTGAAGAAGGAATGGTACTTGATGATTATATTAATCCAAAATCAATTGAAATTTTTGAAGCACTTGGAGAATCTGCTATGAAAGGATTAAAAGAAGGAGATAAAATCCAAATTCAAAGAAAAGGATATTACAGATGTGATAAAGCCTTTGATGGTAATAAGATTGTTCTTATTAAGATTCCAGATGGAAGTGAAAAAGGTCCAAAAGTTAAAGCTGAAATTGAAGTAAAAGAGAAGAAGCAAAAGAAACAACCAAAAAAGGTTGAACAAAATGAGAAACACTAAAATTGAAGTGTTTGGGATTTATTTTATTAAGGTTTTAATATTTTAAAAAATTTTTTAAAATAAAAAAATCAAAGAAAGTTAAAATAAAATTAATGAAGAAAAGTCATAAAATTAAGTTATATTTAAAATAAACTT